TCAAAAATTTTAATTTTGGCCACGAAAATGGGTCAAATTTCACATAGTGCATTGGCCGTTCGACTTATTTTCTTTTAAACGGCCCCTTTCGCGGTTTCGCTTTTACGGGGTCTCATGTCCGCCGATGACAAACACTTAATTTACAAGATTAAAGACATTTTTATTTAACAACAAACATATTAAAAAATGTCCCCTAATTTCTAAACACCAAAATTGGCGATTAAAATTATCATTTATAATGACAGTTAGGCGTAAGGAATATAAAACAAATCAAATAAAATACAATTTATATAAGAAAGCTATCGGTAACTTAAAAAAAAATGCATACAGATGCGAAAAATACTAGACTCAAACTTAAGTGGTTTATCATTCTTTACGATATTCGGTTAATGAGTGGGCTCCGCGCTCATCTCCAAAACTACAATATTTGAGTGTCACTCAATTACTTTGTTGCCTTTGCTTTTAAATGTTTTCTGCCAATTCGGCAATGCAATTTAATTCGGCCATAAAAAGAAACTTAATTTCGACCAATTTTAATTCCGATTTTTTTTCCTCTTCCTTTTTCTTCCTATTTACCTATTTTCACAAAAATTTTGATAAAGTAGCCACTCAAAAAATATCATAATATTTGTAAAACCACGCATTATTTCACAGCATTTCACCGTCGAGGGAAGCTCTTTGTTCTAAGATACCTGTAAAACGCTGCGAAAAAGATAATTTTCCCTTTTTCTTTTAAAATTCATTCTCTTCTAGCTATTTTTTTTTATATCATTTACTTTACTTTGAATGTGAGAAACCATGCCATAGTCTTGGCAGTTAGCAACGAACCATAAACACTTTTCCGACAAGTACCACAAAATACATTCAAAACAACATTAAAGAAAATCACGTATAGCTACAAATTAATTATTCAATGTGGCTAGTAATTTCGATCATTCGTGAATTCGCTCTTCTCTCTCATCTCTTTCCTTTTAACTCTTGTTCCTCCAGTTGTGAGGTTAAATTTTTTCTTTTCGGCACTCACTTTCCCCTCACTTTTCTTTCCCTCTACTGTTTCTCTTCTAACTTTTTAGTTGTTACGGGCACAATTTTAGATTCGCATGGTTTTCACTAATTTTAAATAGGGTCTGGAACGGTATTATAGCACCAACAACCAAAAACCATATCCACAGCGAGCTTCCGATTTTTCGCCGATAGTGGGTCGGTTGCTCCAAAACAAAATAGCTCCAATGCGATCTTCTCGTGCGCTCAGCTAGCGAAAATCAAAAGTGTTGTCCCCGGTATTCTTTATCGTAACAAAATTTCGATGATCGGAGTCCCCTTTTATTTCTTTCTTTTCAAACTCACCAAAATTAGAGGAATCGGCCGATATCAACGAATTCGCTTGCCTTCTCTTTAGACACGCCTCCAGGGCTTCGCTTCTTTTGCTAGGCCTAAATCTTTACACCGCAAATCTAACATCCTTTTTGGGTTTAGCAGTTTTCATGACATTCTCGGTGGAGGGTTCAGATAAAATAGAACAGCAGCACGAATCCCCCTCTCGCAGAAACCAAATGAATTATCATCCTGTTGACCTATTCTGCTTTTATTTTATCCTACAAGTCAACCAACGGCAACCAACATAAAGATGGCGCTCATTCAGCTCTGTTCTCAGTCTATCTGTCAGCGCTACACGGTTGCATACATTTTTCAGTTTTTTTCCCTGATGCATGGTTGGTTATTGGCGTCACAGTTCCAAAGTCGCAGCTGAACGCAGACTATTAAAATTAATTCGGATTTAGAAAGATAGAAGCAAAGTATTGGCATAGTGTAGACGCCGGCTTTGGCAGCTTCAGAAGTTATAGAATACTTTAGGCAGAAAAAGGTAAAAATAATTGACACCTGGCAGGTAATGCATCTATCATTTAAAGTAAAAACCATGAAGATAGGTAATCAATTTTATTTTTGTAATTTACCCTGAAAGTTAAGAAATATGTTGCAAAGATTAATCTTGAATCACCTCTCAAAATTTCATCGACCGGCCTACTGCTTTCAAAGCTCGTTCATGCGACATCGTGCATTCATCCAAAATAGGAATTCTACATTCTAACATTAATTTTGCTGTCGCCGAATTTTTGGTCATTGTGCACGTTAGATTTTTACTCCAAAGAAGAAGGCGGCATCAATGCAGAATGTGCATTTCGACTGCCTTTCAACAATGTGATGGTGCAACAGATTGATCGAATAGTAGCCAGATCAGCGAAATGTCTTTCCAGTCCCTCCGGAAGCATCGAGAATGTAAATGCCTCCCATTCCATCGTCAACAATCTTCATTAGCGAATCTTATACGTATTTTTAAACCCTTGCAGGGTATTATAATTTCAGTCGGAAGTTTACAACGCAGTGAATGAGGCACCTCCGACCACATAATTTAAATATATTCTTGATCAGGATCAACAGCCGAGTCGATCTAGCCATGTCCGCCTGTCTTTCTGTCCGTCTGTCCGTCTGTCCGACTGCCCATTTCTACGCAAGCTAGTCTCTCAGTTTTGAAGCTACCTGAATACAACTTTGTAGTTAGTCTTCTATATACTCTCACTTGTATATATGTCGGAACGGGCCGGATCGGACGACTATATCCTATAGCTGCCATAGGAATGATCGGAAAATTAAACAAAAAAACAAACAAAATGTACTACATTTTTTATAGCTCTTGCTTGATCTTTGTTTTGTCTTAGATCCGGCGAGACTTAGTTAAGCTAGAATGGTTCCGCTGACGCAACCTGACGATCCGACTTTCGTCGCAGTTCTCACAGGACCCAAAACAGTATTATAATTTATAATATTAAATAAAACGTAAGACTAAAACAAATCCTTTCTCGCTGTCATTTGAAAACTCTTCTTCAAATAAAGATCAGACAATTGCCAATAAATTTTCACTGTTTATTCAAACAACTTACTCTAAATCTACTGATTTAAATCAAACCTATTCTTACATCATGCCCAAAGGGAACCCACTTTTCAGTCCTAGCTGAAACGAAAACTCTCTTCTTTTAGATCTTAATCCATATTAGCAGCACCTTTTTAGATCAGTAATTTATTCATTTTAACATGGATTTATTGAGTGACGATCAACAAGAAATAATCTTTTGGAGCTCTCTTCCCTTATTATAAAGAGGTTCTATAATAACTTTCAGACAGATGTTATCTTTACTGACTTCGGTACAGCATTTGACTGTGCTAATCATTATCTAAATTTATCTGAAACGCAAAAGGTCATCTTTAAGAATAATCTATCTAAGTTCTCAGAGTTACTTCTGGTGTCCCGCGAGGTAGCCATTTTGGTCCTCTATTGTTTACATTATTTAATAAAGACCTGTCCAAAATTCTGACTAACTCCAGAGCTGGCGATGTCAAGCTTTGTGTGTAATATGTACGCTGAACTGCTGCCCCTTGGAAAGAATCAATTTAGTTGATAATTTGGGCGTCTGCTTGGATTCTAAACTTAACTTTTTCGAACATATTTCGTCTATAGTGAAAAGTGCCAGGGTTGTGCTTGGATTATTAAGCGTTGGTCGAAGATGACTCCTAGTTAGTTAGTAAGTCCTTGTATACTTCTTTAGTTCGTCCTATCCTAGAATGTGGAGTTGCGTTTGGAACTCATAGCACAGCATTAATAGTACTCATAGAATCAGTTAAAAGTATCTTTTTACTTTTCACTCTACGCCCTTTAAATTAAGATGCCAACCACTGCCCTATTTTCATAGACTCTTTCTATTTAAGTTACCTTTCTAAGCCAACCGTAGAATTATGGTGGGCATTACCATGGTGATGTGAAAGTAGAACATCCTTTAAATTACGTTTTATTATGATGATTTGTACATAAAAACTTTTAACCTAAGCCACTGAGTACACATGGATGCTGTTTGTAAGGGGTAGCGTTCAGAGAACTGCCACAAGCCACCGCAACTACAAGTGAACCGACGAAACACTCGGTGTCTGAGACACTCGGGTGTTTATGGTACCCTATTTGCGGTTATAAAAAGAACACCACAGTGTATTTGGTTTCCGTTTGTATTATGTTACTGCCGAAGGGTGCGAGTGAGTGCTGCGGTACAATGGCTCGAATGACCCGACTCACAAGAGAAGATTGGTCGCAGGTCATTTTTTGTATGCATGCATATATTATGGGTGGAACAAGACGGTCTAAAAAAAGTCTAAAAAAAATTTTTTTTTGTTTGGCGAATCCGAATTCGTCGACCTAATTGCTAATAAAAAAACAGTAGATGCTGCTCTTTTACATTTTCAATAGATTAAATAATAATAATATATAATTAAATAATTTATATTCAAGTATTTCAAATTATACTAGCATAAATTACATGAATTAATTATGTAAACAAGTAGTAAAATTATTTACTAATGAATAATTTTAAAAGCATTAAAACTTGTTTAGATATTTTGTTTTTTTATTTTATTTTATTTTTTTTGTGACATTAAAAAAAAATAATATAATTACAAAATATTTATAGATTTATTTAATTTAATATTGCCATATAAATTAACCAGCCGTTTCTAACCTCTTTCTGAGACCTCCAGAATTGTCTGAATCCGATCGTTAACAAGAATTCAAGACAAAAACACAAAAGGCGATGACGTCATAAACACCCGGGTGTCGTCAAGACACTCGAGTAATATGTGTGTGTTTTTCCCACAATCCTGTTTTTTTAGGTGTTTTTTATTACCGTTGACTGCTCTACACATTCGTTTTGAGTGCGAAGTAGAGTACCGTATTGATCGGGTGCGCAGAACTCCGAGTGTTTGCACCACTCAGATGATTTTGTGTGGTTGTTTGCCTTTTACTTTAGTTGCCGGTGTTTTGTTTTATATAATATTTAATTATGTATTAAATACTTTAAATATATAATAATTATAAATATAAAATATATAAAAACGATATATAATAACAATTACAATAATTATTAAAACCATACATTAAATTCAAAAAACTCTTTTTTCAGATTAACAACTCCTCAAAGGAATGAAAGAACAATGCCAGTGCTTCCAAAGGATACCATACTAGCTGATTTGTTACGGCAATCAGACCTTGTTTACAAGTACCATGAGCATGACAGTCTGTTAGAAAATAAAATAGAGCAAGAGTTGAGTGAACAAGAAAAATCGGATGCATGGGACACATATGAAAAGGAATTCACGTTTGGTATGATTTTGCATGATTTTACAGGGAATTCTAATTTTAGTTAGATTATATAAGTTATTTTGGTTCAGGATAGAAACTTTTTAAGGCAAAGGTTATTATAGTAGGTAGGTTACAGTGGTGAGGCCCAATCCTGGGGCCTCCAATTGGAGCTAAGCTCCTTTTTGGTCCACTCTTCTGTTTGTTGTTGTTGTTCACTATCAGTACCACCCAGAGTCATTAAGGAAACCTAGGATTGCCGAAACTTTCAGCTTTCCTATACTTTCCAGTGACTCCATCTGGTAGGCACCAAAGTGGCGAAGTCTGATGTGGTTTAGCGCTAGGCAGAAGCAGAGCAGATGTTCCGGTTTCTCTTGCTCTGTAGGTTGCTTACAGCTTCTACAGATCGAACCGATCGCCCAATGTCCCGTGGTGACTGCCGTGAACCTGCTAATATCCCGCTTGCTGTTGGAACTGCTACTGGTTCGTTTTTTTGTCGTACCTCGGCCAACATTCCCTTGACCTTCTGTGATCGCTCTTACTTAGCCATTCTTTATTAGCTATCTGCTTAATGTGGTCATGGATCGCGTTTAGGGAGATCGGTAATTCAAAGTCTGAACTTAGCCCTGCCGAGCCTGCACGGGCTAGTTCGTCTGCCTTCTCATTTCCTGGGATCTCGTTGTGTCCCGGTTCCCATATTACTTGTTACTTATTACTTACTTGTTACTTATTTTTGTCAGCAAGTCTGTTAAGGGCCTTCTTGCATTCTGCCACTAGTCGTGAGTTCGTTTTCACGGCAGCTAGGGATTTTATAGCCGCTTGGCTATCCGAGTAGGTTCGCACTCTGTTGCCCCTGAGGTCCTGACTTAAGGAAAGTTTGACTGATTCCCTTATGGCTAGTAACTCAGCCAGAAAGACCGTTGCTGAGTCTGAGAGATTGAATGCCTTTTCAATTTCCCAATTCTCATCGTACATGCCAGCCCCTATGCCACAGCTCATCTTGGAGCCATTGGGGTAGAGGGACACCTTGTTTTCTACTACCACCTTGTCCTGGCTCCAGTCTTCCCTTGATGGATATGAGGTCGAGAATGCGTTCCCGAAGTTCATCTCCGCGATCATGTACTCGGTCTTTACGTTTGAATTTATTCCGTAGACAAAAATCTTGCGTGCCCGGCGCCGTATTCCATTCAGCAATTGCTTGCCTTCAGTCTCACTGCGCGCTGTGCTGCAATGTCCTTCACGAACAGTTCTATCGGCATTATATTCAGGATAGCGTTGTGAGCAGCCGCGGGGCATGATCGCATTGCACCCACGGCCCCCACACTCCATGTCAGCTTCCTTCTGTTGTAAGCCCTAGTTAGTGCCGGCCACCATACTAGGGCTCCGTATGTTAGTATTGGCCGTACCACTGCTGTGTAGAGCCATAAAATTATCTTTGGGTGCAGTCCCCATTTGTTCCCAAACATTTTCCTGCAGGAGTAAAATGCAATGCTTGCTTTCCTTACTTTACTGCAATGTTTTCTTTCCATGAGAGCTTTTTATCCAGAAGTACTCCTAGATACTTTGCTCGCTCCGCTAGTTTTAGCTCCATGCCGTTTATACTGGGCATGTTGAAGGGTGGTATTTTGGTTCTAAGTGTGAAGAGCATAAGCTCTGTCTTAGTGGGGTTGATACCTAGTCCGCAGGTTTTTGCCCATTTATTTAATCGACCTAGCGCACCCGTCATTATTTTGCTAATATCGTCAGGGTATAGTCCTGATACTAGCAGTACTACGTCGTCTGCGTATGCAACTGCTTTAACTTTACCCGTATTGAGATCTGTCAATATGGCGTTCATATTTGTGAGCCAGAATAGGGGCGATAATACCCCGCCCTGAGGTGTGCCTCTCTTCACAGTCCGCGTGAGGTGGGTGCCACTCAGTTCGGCTGTGATCGACCTGATCTCTCCTCTCTGATGCCTCTTTCAATACCTAACAGGTTGATAAAGTCGGGGTTCACGTTAATGAACGCGCCTTCGATGTCAAGGAAGGCGGCCATCGTGTATTGCTTGTGTTTTAATGTCTTCTCGACATGATGTACAACTACGTGAAGCTCTGTTTCCGTCGACTTTCCTTTGCGGTACGCATGCTGCGCATCCGAGAGTTGATGTCCCTCTAGAGACTCCCGGATGTGGACGTCCAGGAGTCTCTCTTCTGTTTTCAGGGCGAAGGAGGTGAGACTTATCGGTCTATAATTCATTGCTAGGATATGCCCCCTTCTGTCCGGTTTCGGTATAAATATAACTTTTGCCTCCCTCCACAGGAGTTGGATGTGCGTCAGTCTTAAACAAGCTTCGTAAATGGCTTTTAGCCATTTGTAAATGCTATCCTTGGCTGATTGTAGCATTGCCGGTATTAAGCTGTCGGGGCCGGGCTTTTGTACTTATCGAACGAATCTATTGCCCACTGAAATCGCTCAGTGGTAATGATGTCTTTCGTTGGCGTATCCATTTGAGCGTTCGTTCCATCCTCGGGTTCCGAGCTCACTCTTAGGTTTCCTGGGAAGTGGGTGTCAACTAGTAGCTCTAGTGACTCCTCAATTGTTGTCGTAGCAGAGCCGTCTGCTCTGTTGAGCAGGGTAGGGCTTATGTGCCCTTTTTGCTTACTCTCGCCGTGTCCTTTATGACTTCTAATGATTCGCAGTAGTTTTGCCAGGACTCTTTCTTGGCCTTGTATACTGCCTCCTTGTAAATTTTTGTGCTTCTTTATATGTTCCCCAATCCTTAATTACATAGCTGCTGTTGAATGACTTTCTCACGCTCTTTCTGAGCTCGCTTAGTTCCTTTGTCCACCACAGTGTGTATTGCTTCTTCGAGAATGTAAGCTTACATGTTTTTTTGACGGCGTTGTTCAGGATATTCTTTAGGTCCTTCTGTTCCTTGTCGAGTGCCTTTGCAGTGGATATTGTCTTGGTCCTCCTGCCGTTTACTTTAGATTAAACAATTTCGCTGAATTTGTCCCAAGCCTTCTTACGGGGGTTCCTTCTTGGCACCTGTTTATTTACTGGCGTTGTTAGTTCCAAGAAAATATACCTATGGTCTGAGAAGGAGCGTTATGTCGATACCCTCCAGTTCTCGACTTTGTAATTATTGTGTTCTATTTCAAAGGTGAGATCTAACACCTCCTTCCAACCTTGAAAATTTTCCGTGCTCGGAAAGATGATAGTCGTCGTATTACCCTTATTACAAACCGTAACGTTTCTACAAATAATATTGTCACCAGGGTCGTCTTCATCACTTCATCATTGCAGCAGCTTGCCTACCGGCTCAGGCGGGGCCGGCTCGTCATGGGCCATGTATGCCGATGCTATGGTGACTCCGCTCCCATCCACCGCCACGAATCTGGCCACTGCTAGGTCAGGTGTGCTAAGATTGGGACAGAGAAAAGCATTAAAATGATTCTTGATTACTATGCAAGTTCTCGACCTTCCATTCAGTTTGTGCACAGTAGTGTGTAAGTTAACTAAGTTAACCGGGCGACGGCAATGACCGATCGTCCGAAAGCTCGCTCCGGCCAAATTGCTGACCCAGCGTCTGGCCGGAAGCTCGTGCATAGCCGGCAAACACTGCCCATTGGAGTGGCCGCTATGAGTCCCGCTTTTGTTAGTTCTTAAGTTCAGTTCTGATTTGACATTCATTGAATAAAGAGCCACTGCTCATAAACTTGACTCCGACTAATTGTCGTTAAACTTTATTATTCATCACCTGTCGGAGTCCCTAGGCCAGCGGGTAAAAAGAGGGCAGTCACCCTCTCACCATAATCTTCCTAATTCATCATTGGGAAATCTACGGCCAGCCGGCTAGAAGATACTAAAGGGCCTGTTGCCCCAACTCTACAATACCAAAAATAATCCGTGTTGAAGTGGATATTGCCTACGGCAAATTCTCGTCGGACCATATCTTATTAATTTGTATCCTTGGATCCTTAGTCCAGCGACTTGCCCATCCCTGGTCCAAGGCTCCTGTATTAAACCGATGTCGATATCCATCTCTCCCTTAGAAGGATCGTGATATTAGCTGAAGCGTGCGAGCTGCGCTTCAGATTAATCTGCACGATTCTCGACATCGATGTTGGTGGGGGTGGCGTCAGGAGATTTGTCGTGGATGATCATGTCGTCCAACAGTGTGTTGGTGTCATCGACCTCCAATATCTCGTCCGGCTCGACCAAGAAGACCTTTATCTTGGCCTTCCTGATGCCGTACCGGACCTTGTGGTCATTGGCCTCCAGCTGAGGCAGGCAGGTTTATCAGCAGGAGAAGACTGGCTCGCCTTCATTTTCTGCTCCGCTCTGAGGATGGTCCAGTCCTCTGTATGGATATCTGGGTTCTTGGCCCTCAGACAGGCAATCACCCTTGCATGGTCAGTTTGACCCTTCGGTAACCTGATGCGAGCTCTGGGTCTCCTTGGGATCTCCCTGGCGTGGACTAGCCTAATCTTAAGGCCAGCCCATGTGTCGCTGATCTTAGCCACACACTCCGCCAGGAAGCTTCGGGAGAACCCGTCGTCACACCTGCTGACCCGATGCCCTCTGACCACGTCGGCATGCTAACCAACCTTGTCGGCCAACTTGGCCTCAATCTCCTCCCACTTCTCCGATAGCAGGCGACCGTTATCATAGACTCGTCCACCAGTGCCATAGCCAGGCTGTCTCTGGCCACATCGCTAAATTTCTTTGTTTTGCTGACAAAGCTAGTCGCTCGCGGCTTACCCTGTGGGTCCTTCACTCTTAGGTGCGCTTTCGCTCACTTCCTGTGAACGAATTCTGTTCGCCTTCGAGGGTTGGAACGCCGACGGGTTTGCCGCTTTGTATGCCTCGAATTCCGCGATCTCCGCAAGGAATTTGGCCTTGTCCTCGGCATCCCGAGGGTCAGTCTTGCCCTCAGCCTCGTTCTTGGCTATCTTGCCGAGAACAAAGCGGGCTCTATTGAACCTCGCTAGTCTTTGATGGTGAGACATTTTCGCCATCTCTGAGGTGGTGCCCAGCTG